GCCCAACGACATCTTTCTTGTTTATTCTCTTCCAATTTCTCACTTTAACTGGTATTTTTTACTTCATATTGCCTACATCAGATAAACTACAGTAATTGAGGTTAGACACTGTTATAAATTTGATTACCGGGTCCTGGCAGGTGCCGTTAGAACCACCTGACCCTACCAACAGTGTTGCAAGTCAGGCAGCATTTTTTTTTTACATTTTTGGTGCCTCCATTTGTTAATTTTTTTTCTGTGGGGTTTGCACAATAGTATACTGTTTTACCTACAGTATTGTAAAACGATTTGGGAAAAGAAATACTCGGTAACTTAAAATTTTAAAAGGAAAATTTTGAAACTGGCAACTGTGTGTAGATACCCTGACTCACATCATATTATGTCATCACGATTAGCCCACGTGTATATTTCAAATTGTGTCTTGTTATAGTGTAGACGTGCTTGACCCATATTCTCTTCAGCATGGATTCAAGAAGAAAGTTCACAGCAATGTTCAAGCTGAGAGTGATTGAATATGCAGAACAGACTAACAACTGTGCAGCAGCAAGAGAATTTAAGGTTTCCGAAAAAAGTGTTAGAGACTGGAAAATGTTCTCTGCACAACTTAAGCTTTTGCCGAAAAACAAATGTGCTAACAGAGGAAAGTGTAACAAGTGGCCACAGTTGGAAGTTGAAGTGGCAAAGTATGTCAGTGAAAACCGACAGAATGGATATGGTGTTTCCCGAGGATCAATTCGAATCTTTGCCTTGAAACTAGCAAGGAAATTAGGCATCACAGATTTTAAGGCGAGTCATGGTTGGTGCACAAGATTTATGGAAAGAAATGATTTTGTACTGAGACGGAAAACGAAAATATCACAGCGTCTTCCACAAGAACTTGATGACAAGGTTATTGAATTTCATAGGTTCATAATCAAACACCGGAAGAAGAACTCATATAGACTTTCGTGTATTGGAAACATGGATGAAACGCCCATGAATTTTGATATGCCAATCAGTCAAACAGTGAATAAAGTTGGTGAAAAACAGTTTTAGTTAAAACTACTGGACATGAAAAATCAAGATTCACAGTTGTGCTATCATGTATGGCTGACGGCACAAAGCTGACGCTTATGGTAATATTTAAAAGGAAAACAGTTCCAAAGCAAAATTTTCCAAAAGGTATAATCATCCATGTGCACGAGAAAGGATGGATGGATGAAGGCGGCATACAAATATGGCTTAAAAAAGTCTGGAACTTTAGACCAGGGGGACTGCGCAAAGAAAAAAGTCTTCTTGTGAGGGATATGTTTCGGTCACATCTTGTTGACAGTGTTACTGCTGGGATTAGGAAGGAAAACACTGATACAGCTGTGATTCCTGGTGGATTAACAAGTCTTGTCCAACCACTGGATGTTTCCATAAACAAACCATTTAAAGATGCGGTAAGAGTGAAGTGGAACAACTGGATGATAGAAGGCGATAAGACATACACAAAGGGAGGCAACATCCAAGCTCCATCACTAGCAACATTATGTGAATGGATTGTAGAGGCCTGGGATGCAATCAGACCAGAAATTGTGGTGAAATCTTTTAAGAAATGTGGGATTTCGAATGCTCTTGATGGAACAGAAGACGACTTGTTGTGGGATTATGAGGCTAATGAGAGCGTGATTGAGGATGAAGATATTGATGATCCTATGGCTGATGATGGTGTTGATCCATATGACGATGCTGTTCAAGGAGAGGACTGGGAGGAGCTGTTTGGTGCTGCAGATGATGAAAAGGAAAATGATTTTGATGGATTTTAATGAAAATATTCAGAAATATGGTATCGTAGTATTTATTCAAGTCAATTAGGATAGAATATTATTGTAATACAACAGTTTTTTAACTGAAAACCATTCGAAAAGGGATTACGGTAAAATGTTTTGAACGACGAAAGAAAGTGAAAGTCATTGTTTTCGCCACAATTTTATCCCACTTTCCACTGTAATACGTACGTCATTTCAGCAAAAATATTACATTTCCATATTTATTTCTGAGAATATATTCATTCAGGCACAGTTAAGGTAAAATATACTTGTGCTGTAACATTTTTTAATTGAAAACGATTCGAAAAACACGTACCCTCTAGCCCTGTTCAACATCAAAAAAGGATTGGCAAAGGCAAAACTCTTAGAAAAATGCAGCCTCATAGTCTGGGATGAATGTACTATGTCTCACAAGTTAGCATTTGAAGCGTTGGACAGGACCTTGCAAGACATACGAGAAAATGACCGTCTCATGGGTGGCATTACAATGGTCATTGCTGGAGACTTTCGCCAGACCCTACCTGTCATTCCTTGAAGCACTCCAGCTGATGAACTGAATGCGTGCCTCAAGGCATCATACCTATGGAGAAGTGTTCAGACACTCACCCTATCCACAAACATGAGAGTACACTCGGAAACCATACTCTCTAGCCCACCTGGGTCGGTGTTGGAGGTTAGTACAGTGTCCTTTCTGAACGGGGGCCCACTCGAACTATCATGAGGCAACACATGCACGAACACTCACAGTCATAGTACGGCTGTATAGATGATATTATGTATAAATATTGTATATGGCATTTTATACTCTGCATTATCTTCATTATATATGAACAAGAAGAAAAAATTACCATAGGTTGTAGTTACGAAAGTAAGAATGGAAATAAACACTTCCAAACCACCCAGTGAATCCAAATGTCGTTTACAGCGCTTGTGGCCAGGCCATGATGATTCCACCACACACCATCTATATCTTTTATTTCCCATCATTCGCGTAACTATATGAAAAATCGTGTTTAAAATAACTACATATTTCAAAAACCTTAAATTACATGTGGATCAGTCACTCCTCATTTGACACACTTATAGTGTAATACTTTGACCATCCGTGACGCGAGGGGTGCCTTTATATATACAGTATATATATATATATATATATATATATATATATATATATATATATATATATATATATATATATAATCAACGACCTCACCAGCCAGGACTCGAACCCTAGACCTAATGCATGGGACCAGGGAACGTTACCGACCATACCACAAGAGCACTAAAAGCAGTTCTAGACTATGTGACTAAAAATGAAGTATACATGGTACCTCGTGTTTCATACCAGCTGGATTCGGTAAAATGCTACTGACATCCACATAAGCAGCACAGGCAGTTCCCAATGAGAGGTTCACGGCGCCATCAGTACGATGAACAGGCTTTGTGTGAAATGACACATAGTCTAGAACTGATTTTAGTGCTCTTGTGGTATGGTCGGTAACGTTCCCTGGTCCCATGCATTAGATCGAGGGTTCGAGTCCTGGCTGGTGAGGTCGTTGATTATATGTTCAAAGTCCGCGTGTTACATGGATTGAAAATGAAATATATATACATATATATACGTACTGTATGTGTTTACATTTTGTAATGACACCCAATATATTATCATGTGGATAAGATACTGAACTGCAAAAAAGCTATAGGATATCATTATACTGTACTATGGCCAGCAATAATATAGTGGTAAACTATGACATCATCATTTTTCAAATTTCATATTTTTTTTTCTGTAAACCTAATGTAAAATTTCGCATCCCCTCCAAAATTAGAAGAGGATATAATCGATTTAATATTCCATAAATTTCCCCCCAAAAATCTTTAACTTCAGCATTGATTCAAAATGGTTTGAACCAAGGATAAATTAATAGGGTTTGTATGGGATTGTTTCAGACTTTCATGACCCATATCTCAGTCGTTTACCACTCTATTGACCCCATATCTTTTGGAGGTCTGTACATTGATTATTCTTTCGGAAAAGTAAATCCACTTAACAGATTTACGAAAAAAATATTGTGTGACATCACTTTACCACTACTGTATATAATAAGGGACTTTCATAAGTGGTTCACATGTTGGTACATCAAAAAGTGGATTTGTTTTCACTTAGTTTTCCTATCACGTGTTTACTAGCTTCCCTAGCTCTGTATGTAGTGCCGAGATTGGAACTCGTGGAAATATTTGTCAAGCTATAGGTTAACCTGTTCAACCCTTTGTATTGGTGTGTGTAACCATCACATTGAACTGTCGTCCAGGAAAGCCACCTTGTCTCACCTCCCGTTCGAGCAAGGTATCCTCGTTATTATGGCTCATGACTGTACGTGCCGAACTGCATACCTGCACAGTTACTGTATTAAAGAACGTATATAGACTCCCTAGAAAGCATTCGAAGGAGGATGACAAGACAAATCCCGGGCATTAGTAACCTTGAGTACAGAGTCAGATTAGAGCATCCTTATTTGCACTCCCTCAAGAGACCTAGAGTGAGGGGCGATATGATGAAGGTGTATAAATGGAAGTCAGGGTTAAACATAGGTGATATAACAAAGGTACTCAAACTATCCAACCAGGGGCGAACTCGTAGCAATGGTTTTAAATTATACACATTAATATTTAGGCGCGAAATAGGTAAACACTGGTTTGGAAATAGAGTAGAGGATGTGTGGAACAAGTTATCGAACTTCGTCATTAACTCGAACACGCTGGGTAGCTTCAAATATAGGCTGGACAGATCTTACGACCGATAGGGGTTGGGTGTAAACGGGCTGCCTAGTATGGGCCAATAGGCCAGATGCAGTTTCCTCCATTCTTATGTTTTTATACCTGCATATCTGTATTGTTTTTATACAGGCTAAACTTTATGCCTGTATGCCTTAATGATGAACGAATTATTAACCCGTGTTGCGATTGGAGAGAATATTATGTATTTGTGTACAATTAAAGACCAAGGTCGTGTCGTGAAATTTGGTTGAAACTTATGCCGAAGGGCTAAAACTTTTGGTGCGCTCTGCCTTCTGGTAGGGCTCTCATAATGTTTCACGAGTTATATTTAATCTTCAGACAAAACCGCGACACGACTTTTGTCTTTCATTGTACCTGTCGACAGTATCTACTCTCGTCAATAACATGCGAAAGGTGAAACCTTACTGGTACCTTAAAGTCTAGCTGGCAATGGTTCATCTTCCGGAGCCACAGTTGTCCCTCATGCTGACCAAGACACACTTGCAACACTCCCACCTTCCTGCAAAACCGTACAACACTTACTAAACCACCTTCAACATTTACTACACCACTTCAACGCTTACTACACTTACTACACCAGCCGCAACACTTATTAAACCACCTTCATAAAATATAAATACACTTGTTAACTTACCTGTACAAGTTAGTAAGAGCGGACATAACCGTGTCATGGTCCAGAGGTTTAGAACAAGAGAGGTGCATAGTGTAGCAGGTTAGGGTCTCTCTCTGCTGGTGACCGCACTCGAAGTACTCTTCTTTGGTAGTGGTCGGCCGCAGCCACTGACCATCGATGGTGGTCATGGTCACACCTGTTGCTGTTTGATGATGTTATCTAAAACTCTGAAAAGTGGGAAAAGGACATTATTTATCAACTGCTTCATATCCTGACCTACAGTTAGCTGACACATTCAATTCCATCTTCAAGTGGGTAAATGCAATACAAGCACCATGTTTGAAGCTATCTAGTGTGAGTATGAAATAAACGACAATGAACCCTAAATCTGGTGGAATGCACGACATAATTGTTGTATCCCCGCTGAAATTAATCGAAGTAAACTACTAAAATTCCGGGATGGACTTCTGACGATTTTACAGGACTACCGTGATACGGGCTGTTTTAGGCTGAGACGTTCATTTTGTTGTTATAATATTTATAATAGTCTGACATCGAAACCCAGATTTTTAGTGAACTTGGAAATGGGATGTACACTCCCACCAAAAAGTATTGGTGCAGGGTGAGATCGCCGACTTCCGAAACGATACGTATACACTGTGATATGTCTGGAAGGTTGGTAAGTGTATCCTCATAACCCCCCCCCCCTCCACTAGGTGTTGCCATATGGCTGACAATCAGTGTATTTGTTTCCTCTTTTTGGATTGTTGCTTTGTGTCGACTGAATGATGAGCGAGGGTTGGGTCTCGGTGAACGTGGGAATAAAACAGAGGCAATATGAAGCAGTAGAGATCTACACATGCCAGACGAAATGGAAACCTCAGAGGGAACACGAGGAGCTAATATTGCCCTTCATAACGAAGGGTTCGGCGTCACAGATATTAGCCGGCGGGTTGGTGTCCACAGGAACACCGCTGCACGATGGATTCGGCGATACCTCGAAACTGGTGCTACAGACGACAGGTCTCGGAGCAGCCGTCCACGCTGCACCACAACTCAGGGCTGCCAACATACGGCTGCAACAACTCGCCTTTCCCAATACCTACCGTCACTGGTATCAAATTGTTCACACTACAGTATGCACAGATACTTTTTGTTGCGAGTGTACAGTCACCCAAACAAGTCATGTCGCGAACCATGAACCCCGAGATTCAGACTCTTGAATCCGAAGCATTTATGGACAGAATAATGTATCAGTGTCTACTGCTTCGGGTTCACCAGTCTGAATCGCGGTTCGCGACAGGACTTTTTTGGGTAACTGTACAGTTCATAATGTTAATTTTTTTTCTTTTCCGTTTTTTGCACCTTACAAGTGTCATTCACCACCCCTAAGGATTTTAAGATTTTTTTCAGTGATGACCTGACCACCGTAGGGTCAAGACCTATTTAGGCGCTGCTCCTGCTGAGCAGCTCTCACCCTTGGCCAATGCTCGGCCCATTCCCCACGTCCCTCTCCCCGACCCATCCTCACCACCGGGATATCAACATAATCAAAAGTGACATTTCGTTTCGGAAAGAAGTGGAACCAGTGTTGAACAGTTATGAACAGTGTTTAAGCCAGTGAATTCAGTACTAGACAGTACCAGTGAGAGCAGTGACCCGCCAGTGAGACAAGCACCGCTGGGAACTGACCGCCATCTCCTGACAAGGAGGTGCTAATCAGTCCACCCTGAGAACAACAGTGGGTCGGCTTCACACTTGACTTCGAAATAACACAACACCACCCAGTAGGGTGGGGATAGGTCAACAACTGCAAATATGTTGCCTGTATAACAAGTGAACTACCGTGTGTTGAGCACTGTGTCGTGTGTAGGTGTAGGTGCCCGCGAGGCAAGGCCTATACCCTTGTGGTCACGCTCGGCCATGTGGTGAGGGTTTGTTTACACAAACCCCCGTCCTCATAGTGTGCCAAGCTGGTTAGTTCTTTTGAAACTAAAATTGACTTTGATACTGTATCTAACCAGAAAAACAGAGATACTATTAAGAACAAGTGTAGTGTAATAAAAGTGTTTATAAACTGAGAAAACTCCTGTTACCTTAGTCCCCCCGACACCACACTCCCTCCGCGGGAGGCCCGCTCATGGCCTCCCCTCACACCGCTAATACGCTGTAGATGCCAGTCTCCTAGGAGTGCCAAGCAGTCCTCGGCCCTCTGACGTAGGCATATAAGTCGATCCCTGTAACTCCACCATGTCTGAGTTGACTGGAGACCCAGCTACTCGCTTTAACTCTCCTGATGCACTGAGTGAGCCAGGCGACTGTGGTGTTGACCTTGACACCAACGGAGAAGATGGCTTTCAACTAGTTCAGTCCAGGAACAAGCGGAAGGCCGAAAGGGCAGAAAGACTTAGAGACAATCAACTACAACCACAACCCCCCATGAGAGTAAGATTATACTTCCCTGAAGGTACATCACCTGAAGACAAGTATCTCTGGCTGAACGATGCGGAAGACAAATATCCTGAGGCTGAGTTTCAGTTCAGAGTCGGTACACAAGATCATGTTCTGATTAGAAACGACCCAGCAGTCATACAGGATCTCCTCACCAATAGCATAAGGGGAATAACCATGGAACAATCATCCCAACCATCGAGCAAGAAAACCATCTTAATCATAGGGCTCGACCAGTACCAGACCCCTACACTACTAGAAGCTTATCCCGCCATCAGAAGGACGAAGCGACTCAGGGGCAAGAATGCAGTCATTGCAGACTGGGTTGGCTCGGAAGACCCACCCAAGACCATTCGAGTCCATGGTGCCTGTCGGACTCTGAAGGTAACTCTCTATCAGCCCCCTAACCGGAGGTGTTACAATTGTCAGCACTGGGGCCATGTGGCCCAGTTATGCCCCTCGACTAAGCCGTGGTGTGGTCTCTGCTCAAGGCAACATGCAACACAGGTTTGCAGAGATACAGTTGCTCAAGGTGGTGTCATCCAACAGAAGTGTATTAACTGCAAAACAGTTGGAGTTCCTGTATGGCACCCTAACTGTTCTAGAGCTCCTACACCCCTTCAGCGCCCAGACCCGCCACCCAGGCAGGTCTCAAGAAACACTAATGCTGCTAGGGTACTCCCTACGGCCAACCCCTGGCCCGCCCTCCCCACCAAAGCTCCAGGATCATCACCAGCAGTCATCGAAAGATCAGCATGGGGCAACACAGACGTACCGACACAACAGGTAGCTGCCAACACACTCCATGAACACGCACAACGTGAAGAGATCAATGATTTGAAAAATGAAATTAAAGAACTCAAAGCTCAGTTTACAGCTCAAACTGAAATGTTAAGGAGCCTCTGTGATACACTAAAGGAAAAAAACACCACCAACACAGTGCAGCAGCTACGGAAAAATTACAGTCAAACTGAAGACATTCAGATGTCAGTACCAGATGTGGAAACTCAAGACCCACCAGGAACTAGTGTCCACGCAGAGGAAAATAGTGATACTGGTAACAGTTCTACTGATGCCTCAGTGGACATGGTCAGTGAAGATGAACAAGCACAAACAGAAAATGGTGGTGATGTCGAGTGTAACCAAAGTGTGTTGTTGTCTGCCACTGAAATACAACAATTGTTGAGCCGTACATGCTCCAGAAATGTTTCAAAAAGGTTAACTGGCCTACTACCTGCCGAAGGGACAGGCAGCGCAGAAAAGAACAGTATCATACAGTGCCTTTTGCTTCTTTCCAAATACATTTCATAATGGCCAGTGTTAATACCAGACAAAGTTCCAAATACATTTCATAATGGCCAGTGTTAATACCAGGCAAAGATACAGAGCGGTGAAGGTGATGAGTTGGAACATCTCATCCCTTAGAAAACGATACCCTGACCTACACCACAAAGTTGTGACTGAGGACATCGATATTGTGTGTCTGCAGGAGTGTCTCACACCTAATGGTAAGCCCCCACCCAGTCTGCCCAATTATGTGTATTATGATCCTAGTTCTACTCACACATGTTTGATGTATGTTAAGAAGTCACTCCCGCATGTACCTCTTGTATCCAAAAAGACTACCAACCTTCAGTACCATGGGATCACTATCCACCTGGGCAACTCCACACTCAACGTGCTAAACGCCTATGCTCCCTCAGATCAGTTTCAGTACACAGATCTCCCAGACTTTTTACACACTGAGCCCACTGTCCTGATGGGTGACCTGAATACTAGACACAAGAAATTAGGTGATTCCACCACTAACACCAATGGTAGGAGACTTATCTCACTTCTCAGCGCAAATGAAGATGTTCAAATTATAGGTAATAATGAACCAACACACATCTATGGCGGGGGTCTAGACAAATGTATTGGCTTTAATCTATCATACACAACTCATAGCTCTGATGTTGTCACTGATCTTATGTCTGACCACAGCCCAATCCAAGCTAGTATACATGTAGCCAATGACACCCCCACTGGTGGTAAACTCAACAGACGTAGAATCACAGTCAAGCAAGAACATGAAAGCCAGTTCATAGACTTCATCCATGACTGGTACAAGGACTACAAGCCTGACAACTACCAAAGTTTCCATGACGATCTGATAGATAGGACTTATGTATACTTCACCAACAATGCCTCCACCAAAAAAAGGAGAAAACGTGGTCAGCATAATGGGAACAGGCAACAGCAGTGCTATAATGACCCTGAGCTGAAAAAACTCAGGGCTAGGGTCAGGAGGGTGGGTAAGGGTTACAGACAATTTAGAACACCTCAAATGTTACAATTGTATCAAGCTTCCCTTGCTGCTGTCAGGGAACGTGTAAACGAACTCAGACAAAATGCATGGGAGACATATGTCAACAGCCTGAACCAACACACATCCCTCAGCAAAGCCTGGAAAGACATAAACATAATCAGAGGTAAAAACAGAAGACACGTCTCCCATCCAAACCCTCTGCAAAAGTCGAATGAGCTAATAACAAAGTGGGCTCATGTGTCGAGCTATGACATGTTACCAGCTAGGACTCGGGGACTCCTTGATGCGAAGTCTGTAGAGAGAAGTAATCTTATTAGCTTTATGCTGGGCAAACAGCACGATGAGTGTGATGTTCCATATACTGAGTGGGAGCTTGACGCCGCCCTCGCCAGGGGTAGGTCTACTTCCCCTGGAGAGGACGGAGTCACCTACAACATCATTAGACTACTAAGGCGCGTGCCAGGCAAT